TATATATGTATGTATATATATATATGTATGTATATATATATGTATGTATATATATATGTATGTATATATATATGTGTATATATATATATATATATATATATATATATATATATATATATATATATATATATATATATATATATATATATATATATATATATATATATATATATATATATATATATATATATATATATATATATATATATATGTATATACATATATATGTATATATATATGTATATATATATATATGTATATATATATGTATATATATATGTATATATATATATATATATATATATATATATATATATATATATATATATATATATATATATATATATATATATATATATATATATATGTATGTATATATATGTATGTATATATATGTATGTATATATATATGTATCTATATATATATGTATCTATATATATATGTATCTATATATATATATGTATGTATATATATATGTATGTATATTCATATGCATGTGCGCATGTATACATATATATCTGTGTGTGTGTGTGTGTGTGTGTGTGTGTGTGTGTGTGTGTGTGTGTGTGTGTGTGTGTGTGTGTGTGTGTGTGTGTGTGTGTGTGTGTGTGTGTGTGTGTGTGTGTGTGTGTACATATGTATGTTTGTATGCTTAAACATACAAAAAAATTTAGTTTGCAAAATGTTCGTTTGTGCGCTTATCTGATGGAATACCGCAATTTACAACCCTTATTTCTCCTTTTATTCTTATCAGAAAACTTTTGTACAGAAAAGATATGTTTTTTTTCTTTTTCTTTTTTTTTATCATACACTGGCAAAATAACAGAAAGGCAATAACAATAACAGTTCTAGATAATTACAATATACTAGAGAATTTAGGATAGACTCGGGAAGAAAAAGCTCCAGAAAGGTGCAGTTTGTTGCTTTAGGTCTTGATCAGTTGTTATCCTGATCACAAGAATATGCTTTGGGGTTCTGTTCGAGAAGAGAGAGAGAGAGAGAAAAAAAAAAGGGGGAAAGGGTGACAGAGCAGGAGGAGGATGTAATGAAGATTTCTTAAGTAGGAATGTTTAAAGATCTGAGGTCTTGGTATAGTGAGAGATCTTTTGAGTCAGTAGGTGAGGAGAGGGGTGGCTTATGAGATGGAAGCAGGGAAAGGAGAAGATGTATGACCAATTGTCAACTGACAGATGTAAAACAAGTACAATACAAATATAAAGGCCCCTTTCAGAAGATCAGTTAAGGCAGGTCTGACTTGAAGTGGATTTGAGTTCCTCAGTTAAGAAGGCAGTAATCTAACCGACGTTATCTTACAAGAACATTGTCTTTTTAAAGCAAATTTAATGTTGAAATACTTGTGATCAATGAAATAAAAAAGAGAACTGGAACAAGATGACCATGATGGCTAATAATGAAATATTGACTTTCAGAGATTAGAAATGGACATCAAAATCACATACATTGACCAGTATTGTTCTTAAGCCTTGGTACTGCCTACAAAGTCAGAAAGATTCCATAATGAGAAGCTTTTTTTTTTATCTTTAAGCTAAGCTTCCCTTTCACACCAGTCTTTCAACTATAAAGATCTATGAGGTGTAAAGAATCATTTAATCTTATGCACATACAATGTTAGGTAGGCTACTGCAATATGTTACATTTGTAGGTACTATGGGATGTTGCTTGATGTAGGTAGAGTGTAGAGATATTTACTTTCATGTTCTTAAGTTCTTGTCACCCTCTCAGTAGAAAAAAATGGTACTTTCAGTAAGAAAAAATAACAAATCATGCCTTATTTATAAAGAAGTCTTTGATTGTAACATATCATTGGACAGAGCATTAAAAGGATGTCAATGGATTGTAACAATACTGTTTTCCTATTCCAATAATCATTGGTAAAGGCTTACAAAAACATTATATGCAGCATGACTAGGGAACGAGATCATAGGGATAACTTTACCTGACTACAGAAAATATAGCAAATTTTGTGAGATTTCTTATCCTACAGTAAAAATAATCAGACTCTCAACAGTCGTATATGTATTGCCAAGAATAAGATAAGGAGGCAATTACTAGAATATCAACAGAATACACAAGAGGAACAAGAGTTAGACTTTCAGTTTCCAAGCATGATTCTTAATTAGTATTTTCATTGGAAACTAACCCCAGTGTGACACTAATAACTGAGCTATTTTTTTCAGAGAAATGTATCAAAAATATAAATAAAAGCTTAATCTGTTTTACTATGAGTAAGGAAAACAAGAATTTTTATTCTCCACTATAAGCATGACAAGTGAATTCTTAAAAAATTCATGCCAATAAACCATGCTTTTCTAAATGAATGTCTAAATCAAGTACCTAAGCTTCTACATAGGCTAGTACAGAAACAAGTCAACTGATATTATCAAGAATAACAAAGAAGTGCACAAATAAGGTTAAAATCTTCATAAACAAAAACATATTGGGACACTGGAAAGTGAAAGTTCTCTGTTTCTTATTAAA